CGTGCCCCCGAGTGTCCTCACAGGCCTGCGCGACTTCCCCGGTCCGTCGGGGCCACGGCCCACGCAGGACATGGCGGGTTAGGCGAGCGCTTGGCCTTCTGCCTCAGCGGGGTGAAAGCCATCACGGAGGGCGCCGGGGCAGGCGTTCAGATGTGATCCGTGCGCGCCCCTCGGCCAGGCAGGCAGCGAGGAAGGAGAAGCGCTCTTGAAGCGCCTCGTGAGCCGGGGGTCTGGCTCGTTATTTTGTAGTGCTTGGGCCAGGCACTGCTGACACATCCTGACTTAAAAAAGGACGGAGGAGTGAAAGTTGAGGTGGGCAAGTAGGGGAGGAAGGAAAAGCAACAGAAAGGGGTTGTGAAAACAAGAGGAACAAAATTAGCTGCAAACAAGGGGTATTAACAACAGAAGGTTGGGCATCCAGGGAGTGACACGACACGGAGGAGAGGGATTGACTGGGAAAAGAAGGTTGAACAGACAAAAACAGTGAATGAAATGGTGACTTCAAGACACCATGAGCAATCCCACTGAGTTTTTAATCAGGACAGAAGGGGTGCAAGAGAAGAGACTCAGGAAAGACACCACAGTAGGCTTAAATAATGCCATATAAAGAAATTGTTTATGAGAAGAAGGGAATATCTCTTCCTTCTTCATTAAATAAAAACAAAACTAGTGACCTCCAAACAAATAAGTCAAGATGATCGCAATTAGTAGGAGTGTTTACATCTACCAAATGAGCTCATGAGTATTTGCATCACAAAGCAATTGGAATCTGAACAACTTTTAAGAAGAAATATAATGCACATTTTCAAACAAAACTCTCACAATCACTGAAAAAAAAATTAAATATTTCAAGCTGCTTCAGTATTAAGGGGGACTAAATCACAAATTTCAGGCAAATCACTATTTGGATGAGAATCTATAATCAATGTTTTAGATATTTTGATTTTGTAAAGAGTCCTTCCAGATAGTGATTGCATCATGTCTTTCCTCCACATCTAACAACCTAGTTTCAGTAAAGTTTAATTACCTGAAAAAATATACCTAAAGGTAATATAAAGAAAACTCCAAAGAAAAAAAAATATGAAGCAGTATTCTTTTTTTCAATATTATTTGATCAAAAATATCTCTGAAGATTCTTAGTTGTCCGTTCAACACAATTTAAGTCTGATGCGACGAAAAATGTTTTCCTTAAAGTTCCATCTCTCCATACAATCACAAAAGAATCTCAGCTTTCATCTTTCAATAAAGTTTGTATCCCTTAAGGCCGTGGAGAAAAACTTGAAAAGATGATCCAGAAGAAGCTCCAGAAAGCAAAGGGAAAGAAATTAACATAATTAAAAATCACACAGTTTTTTTGGAGCATGACTGATTATTTTGTAGGTTTGGGATTAGACATTTTGAAAGCTCAGAAATCATAAAAAAGACCTTCCCTTGCAAGAAATCTGACTACTTGATGCTTGACAGATACATCACTACTACAAATGACTGATATGTGGACCATACTTTGACAAAATGAGTGGGAGACAGATTGCAAGCTCTATATTGAAAAACTGCTTTTGAGAAACTTGTTATTCATGGGGCATGGATTATTTTTCAGCCTTTTGTGGAGAAAGATAATAAAAATACTGATTCTAGAAAAGTTTGGCTAGATAAACATTCAGGTGCATTCAGGCGCAGCTAGGCTAATGCAGAGCTAGAGATGTCAGTAACTGAATGACGAGGATGTATGATTCTGAAAAAAATACAAATTTGAATTTTTATTCATATGAAATGTTACTGACTATT